AAAATTGTTCTGTTTTCATCTCGTTTTGTATCTATTCCGACAAGCCAAAATATGTAAGGAATTTTTTGGCTTAATTTTAGCCACTGCAATCTCGAAAAAAATTAAACACTAGAGAAATTTAAACAAGATTAATGTATTGAAATAGATTATCCGTGCTACCTCATTTATTTCTCTTTTTTTCACCTCAGCGATTTTTTCTAAAGTATAGATTATATTTTGGGGATAATTTATTTGTCCTCGTAAGGGTTCAGGTGATAAATAAGGAGCATCAGTCTCCACTACTATTTTTTCCAAAGGAACTTTTTCAATTACTTCTTGTCATCTCTCTTGCCATTTAGCATTTTTGTAAGTAATATTTCCCGCAAAAGAAATATAAAAGCCTAAATTGATAAACTTTTGAGCGATTTCTCAGGTTCCTGTGAAACAATGAAGAATACCTTCATTGTTGCCTGTTTCTTTTACTATTTCATAAGCATCGGCAAAAGCATCGCGAATATGTAAGCAAACTGGCAAATTATATTTTTTGGCTAATTCTAACTGTTTTTTGAATCAATATTTTTGTTTGGCGATATCAGTGAATGTTCGATAATAATCTAGGCCAATTTCCCCAATAGCAATAATTTTTTTGTTAGTTAATTGTTTTTCTAGTCACTGCAAATTTTCTTCTTCCAAATCTTCATTACTGTTTGGGTGCAAGCCCAAGGCACCATATAAATTAGAAAACTGTTTTAATTGTTCGATTACTTTTTCATTACTTTCTTTATCGTAGCCAACATTAAGGATATATTTTACCCCCACCTTTTCTGCTTTCTGAATAATTTCTTTTGTGTTTTGGTCCTGCTTATGGTATTCTTTATCAACTAAATGGCAATGAGTATCAAAAATATTTAATTTATTCATTAATTTTTTTTAAAGAAATGTTTTTGAAATTAAATAAACTAAGTGGATAAGTCCCAAAAATAATGTAAGATAGAAGCAGACAAATTTCCTAAGATAAAAATTCCATTTACTTTACCATAATTTCTACTAGTTATATTTTGCAAAAGTAAAACAAAAAAGCAACGTGGAAAAAACTGAAGCATACTGAACAGCCCTTCTAGAATTAGTAAGGAGAAAAACAAAGCCAATGCAATTATCTGCTTTCTGCTTGGTTTTTTTCTTCTTTGGGGTGGAGCGACCAAATGACCACCTGCCAATTTTTCCCATCCTATTATCCAAAAAACAATAAGGTTAAGAAAAAAAAGAAAAACGATTAATAAGAGCGAAATAATTCAATCACTCTTTGTCACGCCAATTTTTTGGGAAATTTATTTATTCGTTATCTTTTTTCTTGGCTAATTCTCTTTCTAAATAATATAATTTGGCTCGACGAATTTTTTGGTTAAGTTTGCCGAGCTTTTTGATACTTACTATCAGCGGAGAATGATAAGAAAATATGCTTCTAATTGCTAATTTATCACTCCCTTTGCTTTCCTTTAATACCGAAAAAGTATAACTAATTTGCCCAGGGTTTTTTTGTCCAATTACTGTGCCTTTGAAGTGAGTCAGGCGAAGTTTTGGTTTTTCCTCATTCTTGGCTTTTTCGTTTTTATTGAAGTTTTTAGTGGTAATTTCTACTTTGTCTCCAACTTGTAAAGGCGGCAAGTCAGTACGGAAATATTGTTTGCTTATTTCTTGAAGAGTATCCATAATTTGTTTTTTATATTTTTTTGTCAAAGGGTTATTATTAAATTTAGTAATTTTGTTGTTAATCAATTTGACTCTTTGAGTTGGGTAGATTATTTTTTTCGTTTTTACTAGGCACTAGGCTATTAACCAAAATAGAAAAAGAACAACAAGAGAAAATAGCAAAAAATTTAGGTATTTTTTTTCTTCCAGCCAGTTAAACATCGGTATCATATATTTTTTTCAGGGTTTGGTCAAGTATTTTTCCTCAGCCGAAAATCTTCTAATAATATTAACAAAAAAGAAAAGGGTGGGTTGGATGCTAAGGAAAACAAAAGTTCTTTTTTTGTAAATTTTTTTTTCTTCCCAGTTACTAAACTTAAAAAAGTAGAATAAAGCTAGAGGGATGGCAATAAAATGTCAAGTTATTGAATAGGTTCACCAAAAAATTCCTCTTTCGATTCCTTGATCGCTTAATTGTTTGGGGAGGTAAGTGGCGAATATCACCATGCTCAGTAAATTGCCAATGACCACAATTAAACCAAGCATTTCTTGACTTTTTCCTAAGCTTTTTACTCGGTTATTTTTCAACTCATTGAGGCTGTAAATGCAAGTTAAAATTGTACTTCACACGCATCAAAAAACAGTAATCCACTCTCAAAAGAAGTTAAAAGGACTTTGTGCTAATTTATTACCACCATAGAGGTAATTATTGAAAATAAGCGAAGAAATTAAAGAAAAAATATTGAGGCTAATAATGGCTCACAAAATCAGTCTTTTCTTACTGTTTTTTTTTAATGTTCTCTTCTCTTTCCTTTTCCAGCTTTTGACAATTTTCACAATATTTTTCAGAGGGAGGAATTAAATTATTACAATCTATTTTTAATGGTTCAAAGGGTATTAAGTTCCTACCGCACGGTTTATATCCTTTATCAATTAATTCCTGTCGCTTTTGGCGTTCGGCCACTTTTTTGGGAGCATTTTCCTCAAATGCTTCAAATTCGCTTTGACATCGACATCTGTCATCACAAAAAATGTTATATTCTTTTTCCTCAGTTCCATCGTTATTTAATTTTCTGCTGCTAGCAGATTGGCAGGGATAATTCCCATACTCACTAAAGCTGACATTTTTTTGACACCAACTACAATTTTTAATATTTTTCTTACAATTTTCGCAAAAAGGCTCTTTCTCTTTACCATAACGATAGACTTGACTTTCTGAGAAAGTTTTTTCACACCCTTTGCACTGGTATTTATTTAGGCAATTCATAATTTTTTTATTTTTATACTTATTAGGTTTGGGAATAATTTTATTATTATTTTTATATTTTTTTTCTTTGTTTTGGGTTTTTTCTTGACGGTTTTTTTCTCGTCATTCATTAATTTTTTGGTGGTGTCCTGATAATAAAATTTCTGGAACTTTTAAGCCATTGTATATTTCTGGGCGGGTATAGGTGGCAAAATCTAATTGGGAATTATGAAAGGTTTCTTGTTGATATGACTCTTCTTGGATAGCACCAGGAATGGCCCGAATTAAGGCATCGGTAATCGTTAAGGCGGGCATTTCCCCGCCCATAGTGATGAAGTCGCCCAGCGAAATTTGCTCGTCAATATAGTGTCAAATTCGTTCGTCAAATCCCTCATAGTGTCCGCAAATAAAAACTAAATTAGGGGCTTGATTAAGTAGCCTTGGCACATCATTTTGGGTGAAAGTTTTACCTTGGGGTGAGAGCAAAATGAGATAACTATCCGGATAAGTTTCTTGAATGGTAGCCAAGGCTTGGACTAATGGCTCAATTTTCAAAACCATTCCTGCTCCTCCCCCATAGGGATAATCGTCGACCTGTCCTTTGACAGCAAAATCACGCAAATTATAAACTTGATAAGCAAGCAATTTTCGTTCACAAATCTTTTTGGCTAGAGAAATTTGAAAATAGTTATGGAAGTATTGCGGGAAAAGAGTGAGATAGATAAAATTAGGGGTCATGTTGGAGATATAAGGATAAATTATTTTTATTAACTGTCAAATTTTTTTCGTAAAAAATAAAATTAAGGAAATATTAATAATTTCCTAAGCGACTAATTAAGAGATCATGGTAAATCAAATTCTAATCAAACAAGCCAAGTCACTCAAAGAGTTATTACAATTATATTTTCCAATTGAATTATACGAATATACCAAAAAAATAACTTTAGATGAGAGTTTTTTAAACCATGCAAAAAGGTGACCTGATGCTACACTAGATTTTAGCCTTTATAAAGATTTGGAAATCATCACTCTTGCTGGCAAAACAACTAGTTTGATTTTTAAGACTACAGAATATCCTCCAGGAGAAATCCGCAAAATCAATGTTAGTAAGAACAAAAATTTAAAAGAATTGATTCTGCCTAATCAGGAGTTAGAAGGAACTTTGGATTTAAGTGCCAATTGGCAACTAGAAAAAATAAATATTGTCGTGCTAATGATTCAGACATTGCTAACTTTAAACAGCAAGACTTAGATAGAATTTATCGCTTTTTAGCAAGAAAAGAAATTAAAGTAAAATTATGGGCGAAAACACTTTCGGTAGTTGTTTTAGGAGTAGGGAATAATGATGATGACTTAAAAAACCATTTTAACAATTTTAGTGGTAAAGCCAATATAGAAACCGAAAAAAAACGTCTGTTAACCTTAATAGAAGACTATGGAAAAAATAAAGACAAAGAAATCCAAAAAGCCAAAGAATTAGTTCGAGATGCTTTAAAAAATGCTGGATTGGAAAGCCAAGTTAAGGAAGTTTTAGGGGATAGTTGAGAAGATGAATTTCTCGGTTTAAGTGAAGACTCTGAGATAGATCAGGTGGTCAACGAATTGGTCCAAAAAATCTCGGCTTTTGTGGATCAGAGAAATACGGATATAAAAGTTGCCATTGCGAAAATTGAAAAATTATTGAAAGACTCTGGATTAGTTGAAAGTATTTTGGGAAGTAATTGAAAAAACGGATTTAGTGGTAAAAACCAGGCAGAGATAAATAATGAGGTTGAACGACTAAGAAAGATAATAATGGATAAGAATAAAGAAGACGGTGGTGATGGGGAAAAGAAAAATAAAAAAATAGTTGCCGATAGCAGAACTGAAACTTTGAACCAAATAAAAGTCAAGTTAAAAGAAGGTCACCAAAAACTAAATTTGGAAGAATCTGAAATACCAGTTTCTCTTTTTGCTCCTTACAAAACTCTGGCTGATAAACTAAATAGTTTAAACAAAACAGAAGAAATTAATGCTTTGAATAATAATTTGCTAATAGCGATTGAGCAAAAGAAAAAAGAAAAATTAAACGCAATTGCCCAAGCGGCTATTGTGGAAATTGACCAAGCTATTGGTGGTAACAATTCTCTGGAACTAGGAGAATAAAAGATTATAAGAGGATCATTGGGACTTCTAATGACCCAGATGACATTGAACGAAAAAAAAATAAAGTTAAAAAGTTAATTGATGATCAAAAAAAAGCCGATCAAAATGATGAAGGGATTGTGGTCGATCCCACTGGCAAAAAAACTCCTAAAACTAGTCCACAAGCACCAAAAAAAGTTTCTTTACAAAAAGTAATCGGTATTACTTCTTTGATAATGATTCTATCAATAATTATTGCAGTGATATCATTCAGGATAAGACAAGAAACTAAAGCGAGGAAAGCAAAAAAAACTAAAGCATAATTAATTTGAGTAGATTTAAATTTGCACAAGTCTGGATTGCTGTAAGAGCTAATATCATTGAGTTTAAAACCAGAAAACAAATTTGCTGATGGCAAAAAGAAAGCGAAAATGATAATAGTAACGAACGCGGGAACAAATAGCCATGAAACGAGGAAGCAAAAAATGAAATCAATTCAGAAAAATTAGTTGACTATCTGCCGGAGCAAAAGGTTAAGACAAAATACAGGCAAATAAATTCTTTTAACTCATAACTCTAAATTGCTTTAAAAATCGAACATCATTTAGGTAAAAGTGGCGAATATCTTCAATTCCGTGTTTTATCATTAACAATCGCTCTACTCCTAGCCCAAAGGCAAAACCAGTAAATTTTTGGTTGTCATAACCGCAATTTTTTAAAACTTGGGGGTGGATTAAACCAGCTCCTAATATTTCGACCCAGCCGGTTTTTTTACAGATATTACAACCTTTTCCTTGACAAAGAATACAGAGAGCATCTACTTCTACGCTCGGTTCGGTAAAAGGAAAGTAAGAAGGGCGAAAACGAATAGGATTATTTTCTCCAAACAATTTTTTTAGTACTAATTCTAGAGTGCCTTTCAAATGAGAAAAAGAAATATTGCAACCAACCACAAATCCTTCTATTTGGGTAAATTGGTGGGTATGAGTAGCATCGTCTTCGTCGCGCCGATAAACTTTGCCAGCCGTGATAATTTTTAGTTCCTGATTAGGATTATTTTCCAGAACCCTTATTTGGGTATTAGAAGTATGAGTACGCAGCAGTAAATTAGCGTTAAGGTAAAAAGTATCATGCATGCCCCGAGCCGAGTGTTCGGGCGGCATGTTTAATTTATTAAAATTATATTCTTCGTTTTCTATTTCATCACTTTCAACAATTTGATAACCAAGTGGTAAAAAAACTCCATAAATCTCTTGACTAATTTGCGTAAGTGGGTGAAGATTACCGAGCGGAAATCTTTTTCCTTCTAGGTAAATATCTAATTTATCTTTTTTTTGTTCTTTTTCCGGTTTTTGTTCTTTTAATTTTTCTTCTATTTCCTGGATTTTTGCGGTTAATTTATTTTTTCAACTATTAATTAACCCACCTAATACTTTTTTTCTCTCTTGGTCTTTTTCTTGGCTTATTTGTTGGAAAAGACTTGATATTATGCCACCTTTTTCTAAATAATCTTTTTTTGTTGTTTCTATTTCGGAAAAATTTTCGGTTTCTTTTAATGATTTTTCGACTAAGATGCTAATTTCTTTTTCGTCAATTATTTTTTTATTACTTCCTGACATTGATTTTATTATAACAAATTTACAAGAAAAATTTAGCAGTGGACATTGCTTTCTTCAAAAATTGTATTTCCTGATTCATCTTTTATTTGGAGAAGTTGGGAAGCAAAGATAGAGTTCATGTACCTTCCTCGAGTAATCACTGAAAATTTTCAACCATCACTCGGTTTATTTTCTATAATTTGCTGTAAGAGAAAATTAAAAGCATTATTGCTAATATCTTTTTTATAGAAAATAACATTTTTCTTCCAACCGTCAATTTTGGCTACAAAACTGATATATAAATCTTTTTTATTACTTCCTTGAAGGTTTCAATCACCTGCTATTTCAAATTCTAAATTTGTCATTAATTAAATATTTTTTCTTTGTAATTTTTAGCTAATGCTTTTTATTAATTATTTGGGGAAAAAATGGGATAAGTCATTATTTTATCTTTAATCTAATTTAGAAGTTTTTTCAATTCTTCATTAATGTTAATCATTGTTAATTTATAAATTCCATCCTTAAATTTTTTTATTTTTTCTGCTTTTTCAATAATCGCATTAGCAGCACTTTCTTGGTTTTCTAATTGTTTTTGTAAGTCAATTATATATTTAGGTAATTTATCATTGGCCCATTCCTCTATTTTTTTTAGTTTTTCTTCTTTATTAACCAAGTTGTCGGTTTTCATAAGATTATGTTTGGTGATTAATAGTTCTCGTATGGTCTTTATTGCCAAGAATAGATTAATATTGTCACCGCTAACATAAATCTTTTTTCGTGGGTCGGTTGTTTTAACTGACCTAATGATTTTATCGCCTTCACAAGTGGCAACAATGAAACCATAGTCAGCATGATGAAATACCATATCCCTTTCTAATTTTTCAACTCAATTATTATCTCATTTTTCAGTATTTTTTGCTTCATAAACAATCCGACCAGCAACTTTTTTTGGCTCGGTTTCGGTTAAAACCTCTTGGAGAAAGTCAGCTCTTTTTCCCATTCCGGTTTGACCTTTGCTTACATCCATAATTCTATCCTGACCGTCAAAAACTTTCAGTAATTCCTCGTAAAGTCATTTTTCAAAATCTTGCCCTTTGCCTTGTCCCTTTTGTCTTAATAAAAGATTTTGGATTTGTTCTTGTTTTGCTAGAACTTGCTTTTGTAAGTCTTGATTTTGAGTTTGCAAATTATCTAATTTGGTTTGGTATTTATTATCAAGTTCCTTTTTTTCTTCGTATAATTTCTTAACTCGAATTGAGTTTTCTATGTAGTCAGGAGATTGCAGATGTCTTATTTCTTCTTCTCTTTTTTTAATATCTTCCTTTAATTCTTTTACTTCCGGAAATTTCTCATAGATTTTGAGATTTCTCATTTCTTCCAGCAGTACTCTTCTGTATTTATCTCATTGGGGAATAATTTGTTCTTCTAAGGCTTTTCTTACTATTTCATTGATATAGTGAAAGGCTTGTTGTTCTTTGCCAAAGTCTTCGTCTTTAATATGTTCGCGACAATGAGGGCAGGGAAAAGTAAATTTGTTTAATCTTTCCCTTATTGCTCTCCTAATTTCCTCCTGCAATAATTCATTAGAATTTTGTTGTAACACTTGTGTATCTTGTGTAGTCATTGCTTTTAAATTATCTCTTTTGGTTTCAAAAATGATTCTTGTTGACTATTTCATCCCCGTCTCAATTTAAGTTCTTTTTGACAACTTCTTATTGTTTATTCCCCGCAATCTTTCTATAATTATATTTTTTAATGGCAACACAACCTCCTGTTTTAAATCACCCCAAAAACTATTGAATGACCTCTCAGCAATCAAAC